GTTACTTGTATCTATATATTCCTTAAATAAAGTGTAGGGAAGGAAAATCATGGAAGTTAGAAAGGGAGGAAGTAAATAACAGAAAGAAACCAGGGGTGAGTATTTCGATCCCATTTCACTTTGTTTTCATTAGATCTAGCTTTATTATTATTGATGATTTATAATTAGTAGGCAAAGCAAGAGTATAGAATTTAACTTCGAATTTAATCAACTTGGTAGAAGAGAATATTCCTTGTTTTTTTTTTTTTTTTTCTTTAAATGTCTATTGTTAAGAAATTGCTTACAATTGTTTCTACGACCGCAATACCTTCAATACACATGCAACAGGAATAAATTCATGACCCCCGATGAGCCTTAAGAACAATAAGTCATGATGCTCACAATAAAATTAGATTAGTCAAATTTGGGTTTTCTCGAGGTTTCCATAAAACCAAAAAAACCCGGGTACTGGTGGCGATACCAAAGTAATATTATCATTATTTGTGTTAGATTGATATCGACAGAATGGTTCAACTCAAAAGATATTAGGTAAAGGAACAATGCTTCTCATATGATTATCTTTATTTTATTTATAAATGAAACAGTTTTACCATCAACATAGTTAAATACAATTTAATAGAATATGAAATATAACTTTTAAAACCTTGCTACGAACATAACAAGTTTGGGATATTGTGATAGTGACTTCATAGACCAAAATCTTTCTTTTAATTTTGACTAATGCTTCATAATTCGTAATCTAAGCTTTTCTATCAACACTGTTTCATGTATTTGAAGATCTATGTCATATAATCGTTTTAGTAGAAATGTCGTTTATTCTTAATAAATAGAAAAATACTACGTGACTCAGAGACTCGGCGTTTGATACAATCCATTTATTCCGTTACCATACGTCGCTCTACCATTTCCATTGGTTTTGCCATTGGTGTAGCCGTTCCCATTACCTTTGCCATTAGTATATCCATTCCCATTGCTGTATCCATTTCTTTTGCCATTTGTATACCCATTTCCGTTGCTAAACCCGTTTCCATTACCATTGCCGTTTCTTTTACCGTTGCCGTTGCTGTACCTATTCCCGTTACCATTGCCATTGGTGTAACCATTACCGTTTCTGTTCCCACTACCGTTGTATCCATTCCCATTTTTGTATCCATTACTGTTGCCATTACCGTCGGTGTATCCGTTGCCGTAGCCGTTACTGTTGGCGTATCCGTTGCCGTTGCCATTACCATTGGTGTATCCATTACCGTTGGTGTAACCGTTGCCATTACCGTTGGTGTAACCGTTGCCATTACCATTGGTGTATCCATTACCGTTGGTGTATCCATTACTGTTGCCATTACCGTTGGTATATCCGTTGCCGTAGCCATTACCGTTGGTGTATCCGTTGCCGTTGCCTTTACCATTGGTGTATCCATTACCGTTGGTGTAACCGTTGCCATTACCGTTGCCATTACCATTGGTGTATCCATTACCGTTGGTGTATCCGTTGCCGTTGCCATTACCATTGGTGTAACCGTTGCCATTACCATTGGTGTATCCATTACCGTTGGTGTAACCGTTGCCGTTGCCATTACCGTTGGTATATCCGTTGCCGTTGGTATATCCATTACCATTCCTATGACCGTTGTTGTAACCAATGCCGTTGCCATTACCGTTAGTGTATCCGTTACCATTGGCATATCCATTATAACCATTGCCGTTTGTGTATCCATTTCCATTGAAATTACCAATCTCAGCATTCAAACCGTAGAACTGTTCAGCCTTGGAACAGTCAAAGTTGTACCACCAATCGCACACAAAGTGTTGCTGATTGAAAACTGTGCCATTGGGACAAAGGAACGAGTCGATTCTGCCTCCTGCCTGACAGATGTGGAATACCTGAAATATATCACAAGAAATCATGTCTTTTTATGTCTATAAATCGAAACGTAATTTTATTTTCCTATCTGTACAAAATTGAGGATATCTTGATACATTACGTATATATTTTAACGCACAATTTAATGGAAATTTTGTAATAGTTAGATATTTAAGAAAATACTGGTAATTATGAATATGACTGTGTCAGTATATATTATATGGTATTAACATTTAAGTAGAATCAAATATTAATCATTAAAATAAATTTCTCCCGATAATTCATATTCTTAAAGGATTTGGCACTTACCTGGCATCCAGCCTCAGGCGAAGTATCAGCGTAATATCCTGGAAGTTGGCCGTTGCAGGAGAACCCGGTGTCGGGGACGAAGGCCAGGATGGGGTAGTCCACACCTGGACGCCTCCACCGCCAATGGCATCAGCCAGAGCTCTGAACGGATCCACAATGCCATTGGCGTACACGGTGACCCCATTACCATTTCTGTAGGCTCCATTCCCGTTTCCATTGGTATATGCACCGTTACCATTGGAATATGCACCGTTGCCATTTCCATTTACATAAGCCCCATTTCCATTAGAAAATGCACCATTGCCATTTCCATATCTACCATTACCATTTGTATATACTCCGTTCCCATTCCCGTTTCTATAAACTCCATTACCGTTACCATTTATGGCTCCATTTCCAAAATACATACCGTTGCCATTTGCATTTCCATTAGACAATGCACCATTGCCATTTCCATTTCTGCCATTGCCATTTATGCCATTAACATTTGTATATGCACCATTACCATTGCCATTAACACCATTAGTATATCCATGGCCATTTGTGCGTATTCCATTTCCATTAAGAGAAAAACCATTTCCATTTACAGGTGACAAGTAACTTGCTTGTGCTAAACATATTCCAACGACAACTGGAAAGACGAAAGACAAAGATTAGTATTTGAATGAATATACACATGAAAGAATGTGTATACTAATGCACAGTATATACTACGAAACATTTCTTACTGAGTAACGAAACAGGTGATATATTGGGTGTCATTTCAAAAGCTGCCCGAGTCTCGTTCTATATATGAAAAGGAATGAACAGAGTTGTGAAGAGAAAAAGCGAGACGTGGAAGCGCACTGACGATTGTGCTTGGAGCCTCGCTTTATATAGCTGATCGTCCCTCTCCTCCGGAAGCTCAGGTCAAAGTCACAATCATTTAGGAAGCATGGTTAGTGTCGGGTCTGAATATGTGATATGATAATATCCGACACCGTAGACTTAAATGTGCATATATATAGAGAGAGATATGTATGTATATAGAATTTTTTATTCTAGTTTTATTATATGTACATAGATGCGCACACACACACACACACACACACACACACACATATATATACATATATATATATATATATATATATATATATATATATATATATTCATGAATGCAGATATATAGATAATGCATATATGAATATTAGTTTAAAGATAACAGTGAATATATAGATGTATCTGTATATGGAAAAAATATACGTTTGATTATGCACATACACATCTTTATATAGAGTTAGAAAGATATTTGTATGTGTCACACATATACTAGTATACGCACACACGTTAACCTGTGCACTGAAACTTAGACGTAATTTAACACAATATCATTCAGTTCACTTTCCTATTTATAGATATAAAATTCATTATATCTCGTGATACATTTCAGGCTTTCCACACACGCACACAACACATATATGTATGTATGTATATATAGACACATAGACATATATATATTTTTTTAAATTTATATATGCCTACACAGATATATACATATATATGTACATATACACACATATATACATATATATGTACATACACACACACATATATACATATATATGTATATACACACACACATATATACATATATATGTACATACACACACATATACATATATATACATATACACATATGTCTATGCTATCGCATATTATCGTATCAAAAGACCTATTCAGATCAAACACTGACGATCGCATGCCTCGTGATGGGAACAGTTCATATATAATCCACATGGGAAAAATCTACATCACTATCCTTTGCAATGCTATTTCATGCCATATATATATAATTACAGTACTGTTTTTGATCTGTAAAGAAAGAGAAGTTATGCGATACTATATGATATCAGTTTACTTTTGTTCCATTAATGACCGGTTATTTTTCTCACTCTATCTTCCTTTCTGCCTTCATTTCCGTTCGTCTGCCCCGCGTTGCCTCTTCTCTTTCTCTCTTTTATATCCCCTCCTCTCCTTTTTCTCTTCAGACCTGAAGATGGAAAATATGTAGATTACGAAATTGTTGTCTCATTATCAATGAATCTAGTTTGTGCATTGTTTTTTTTCTACAAAATATATAGATGTGCGTGTGTTAGCATGTATGTTGGTACGTCTATATATGTGTAATGATATATATATGTATATATGTTCATGTATCTTTACACACACATATACATATATGTACATATATATATATATATATATATATATATATATACATATATATATGTCTATGTGTGGTTATATATAAATATTCACATACATATATATGTGTATACACATACATATGTGCACATATATATGTATTGAAGTCTACGATGTCGCATATTCACATATCGCAAGATGTTTTGTATGGATTCCATCGCATGTTGGAATCCCTAAGCATGATCATGCTGAACGCCTAGCAAAGTCAGCATGTGACAAACAAAGTGTGGATATAGATCTTGGGATACCTCTTTCTAGGATTTTATACATCGTTAAAGCTTCCTTCAAAGAGGACTTGACTGAGTTAATGAATTTTCAACTCCCTGAAAGCTGTAGCATAAAGTACTATGACCAGTTTAGGTAAGATTCATTCATCTATGTTTTATATAAAACAAGAACAAGACAGCGTGATGTTGTGACCGCAAGAATCAGGCTTGGGTATAGATTGTATTGGCAGGTCAGTACAGTTTGTAATGTTGGAGAAACTAAGTGTAAACTGTAATAAAGAATATAAGCGAACACTTATACACTATATCTCAGAGTGCCATGTGTTACAGCCTTTCAGACCACCTAGCATGAGGTGCGGAGAACTATGTAACTATCATCATATCATCTGATGTCTTAGAAGATATACTTATGTTGTATCCTAAATTTGGAATGTAGTATCACATGACCGCATATCAAATGTATTAATGCTTTTCCACGCCCAAGCTATATGCCGGCGTGGTAGATGTGTAGAAAAAGGACTGTGCAATATTCCTTTCCTTGAACTGATAAAGTTCTTATCATAACAATGTTATAGGCTAAAATTCAAATGTAATACCACTATGTATTGTTATGACCATGGATTAAATGTACCACAACTTGCCTACGTCTGTGCAGTTAGACAGGGTGGTAAATAAAGGACTAAACTAAAAGAAAAAAAAAAAAAAATACATAAAATTTACATCCGATAATAACCATGCTTCCTAAGTGATCGCATGCACTGTGACTTTGACTTGAGCTTCCGGAGGAAAGCTCAGGTCAAAGTCACGGAAGAAAGGGACGAGCAGCTATATAAAGCAGGGTTCCATGCATAATCGTCAGTGCGCTTCCACGTCTTGCTTTCTCTCTTCGGCATCTCTGCTTAATCCTTTTCATATACAAAACGAGACTTAGGCAGCTTTTGGAATGACACCCAATACATCATCTGTTTCGTTATTCTGTAAGAAATGTTTCGTAGTATATACCGTGTGCGTAAGTATGCGTGCGAATGCATTAGCGTACATATCCTTTTACGTGTATATCAATTCAAATGCTAATCTTTGTCTTTCTACTTTCCAGTTGTCGTTGGAATATGTTTAGCACAAGCAAGTTACTTGTCACCTGTAAATGGAAATGGATTTTCCCTTAACGGAAATGGATATACTAATGGCGTAAACGGGAATGGGAATGGCGCATATACAAATGGTAATGGCATAAATGGGAATGGCGTATATACAAATGGTAATGGCATAAATGGGAATGGCGTATATATAAATGGCAATAGCAGAAATGGAAATGGCAATGGTGCATTTTCTAATGAAAATGGAAATGGAATCGGCGCTTATAATAATGGGAATGGAGGCATAAATGGTAACGTTAATGGAGTTTATAGAAACGGGAATGGGAGAGGTGCATATAAAAATGGTAATGGTATAAATGGGAACGGAGTATATACAAATGGTAATGGTAGGTATGGATATGGCAATGGTGCATTTTCTAATGGAAATGGGGCTTATGTAAATGGAAATGGCAACGGTGCATATTCCAATGGTAACGGTGCATATACCAATGGAAACGGGAATGGAGCCTACAGAAATGGTAATGGGGTCACCGTGTACGCCAATGGCATTGTGGATCCCTTCAGAGCTCTGGCTGATGCCATTGGCGGTGGAGGCGTCCCAGGTGTGGACTACCCCATCCTGGCCTTCGTCCCCGACACCGGCTTCTCGTGCAACGACCAACTGCCTGGATATTACGCTGATACTTCGCCTGAGGCTGGATGTCAGGTAAGTGCCAAATCCTCTAAAACGGGTAAATTATCGGGAGAAATTTCTTATGATTAATGTTTGATTCTACTTCAGCCAACGCCATTTACTATTTAATGACCTTACAGCCATTTTCATATAATATATTCATTATCTATATCGATATAAAATGTCCATAAGACTGTGCGCTAAAATACAAATGTAATATATCAAGATATCCGCATTTTGTACAGATAGGAAGATAAATTATGTTTCGATTTAGAGACATAAAAAAACATTCCATGTTGTACATTTCAGGTGTTCCACATCTGTCAGGCAGGAGGCAGAATCGACTCGTTCCTTTGTCCCAATGGCACAGTGTTTAATCAGCAATACTTCGTGTGCGATTGGTGGTACAACTTTGACTGTTCGACAGCTGAACACTTCTACGGTTTGAATGCTGAGATTGGTAATGTCAATGGAAATGGATACACAAACGGTAATGGTTATAATGGATATGCCAACGGTAATGGATACACCATCGGCAATGGTTACAACAACGGTCATAGGAATGGTAATGGATATACCAACGGTAACGGATACACTAATAGTAACGGCAACGGATACACCAATGGTAATGGTAACGGAAACGGATACACAAACGGTAATGGCAACGACAATGGATACACAAATGGTAATGGCAACGGCAATGGATACACCAACGGTAATGGCAACGGATACACCAACGGTAATGGCAACGGCAACAGATACACCAACGGTAATGGCAACAGCAACGGATACACCAACGGTAATGGCAACGGCAATGGATACACCAACGGTAATGGGAACGGCATTGGTTACACCAACGGTAATGGGAATGGAAATGGATATACCAACGGTATTAGTAACGGGAACGGATAATGGTAACAGAAGCGATAATGGTTACACCAACGGCAATGCTAACGGAAATAGGTACAGCAATGGCAACGGTAATGGAAACGGGTTTACCAATGGAAATGGGTATATGAACGGTAACAAAAATGGATACAGCAATGGGAATGGATATGCTAACGGCAATGGTAATGGGAACGGCTA